TTCTTCTTCTGCATAGTAAAGTTTCACAGCTGTATTAAGTCAATGTTCAGTTGTAAACTTTTGAAAGAACAACCACAGTGTTTTGTTCAGAGTTACGAACATTTCAGAATTATGAACAACCTCCACTTCCGAGGTGTTCGTAACTCTGAGATTCTACTGTAATTCAGTCTTAATGGCCCATTCATTCCTTGGCTTCTCTGATGAAACAGCCATCAAAGGGCAAATAGTGTAAACTGAAATTGTTCTGTCATGTGAACAACAGTGACTTGGAAAGAGACCACCAGTTCATTTCATACAGACCACCCAAAAGCTGTTAGATGGAGGGAGACTGAGTAGTTTAAATCCAATTGCTATATAAAGTGTACGATGAGGTACTTTTTATACCATGAACCAAACTAACTCCTTGTTGCTGTGACTAACCGTGACTGAAAGCTGGCACAATACGTGCCATCTGGCTCTGCTACACTCCTATAGCATATGTATTTTACTGAGCAGGACTGGGATGCTGCTTTACTGTCACACAATCGGAAACAGTGGAATCTGGCCTCTTGTACATGAGGAGGGGGACAGAAAGCTGGACTGAGGAAGGATGGTTCAATGGTAAGGAAGATTCAGGAGACCACGGTTCACTACTCTGCTCTGCCACAGACTTCCTGAGTGATCTTGGACGCGTCTCTTAGGGTCGGTATTTGAAAGTATTTGGATGCCCAAAGATGTAGTTAGGTGCCTAGGTGCTTTTGAAAAATCGCACTAGGCACCTCTCTGCATGTTTAGGCATCTAAACATCTTTAAAAATCTGGCCCTTAGTCTCTCTGTGCCTCAGATGCCCAGCTGCACAGTGGGGACAATAGCACTTCCCTATCTCACGGGGGGTTGTGAGGATAAATATATTAAAGGACTGTGAGGCTCTCAGGCCTGGTCTACACTTAAAACTTACATCGACATAGCTATAAAACGCTCCAGGGTATGAAGAATCCAAACCCCTGAGTGCTGTAGCTATGTTGACCAACCCCCTCCCGCAGTGTAGACGTGGCTAGTTGGTGGATCGCTCGGGGAGGTGGAGAAACGGAAAAACCCCCTTCACTGCTATAGTCTGAGTCTACACTTTGGCTCTGTAGCCATGCAGCTGTCGTGTCTGTAGCATGAAGAGGGCCCCAGATACTACGGTGACAGGGATCATACAAATACTTAAGATAAACAGAGAAAACCATTAAAGAAGGCAACTGAAGGTTGTTTTATTTCTGCTGTTTTAAACACTGTATCCTGTTTCTAGTTATGGAAACTCCCTTCCCAATTCAGATCCTCCGTAACTCTCATTTTAAGGGCAAAGTGAGATCGAGAATGATTAAATAATCTACGGAAAGGCACACAGTGACTTCTTAACAGCCCCCTGATAATGCTCCAGTCCCAGAAAATTCTGAAACCTTTGTGTGGTATCAACAAGAGAACAACATGACGGGAAAGCAGAGGTTTTAAAACACCAGATTCTGATGGGAGAATGGATGTAACAAGAAACGGCCGACAGAAAATGTCCTTATAGTATTAATGATATAGAATATTTATTATTATATTCCTCAATGGAATGTACTGGCAGGCGTTCAATAGGGTCTCTGAACATATTAACAGCAGATGGTTGACATATTTCATATGACAAGTTACAACTGTGACTGTATTTGAAATTGCAATATAATATTACAAATTTTCAGAGGTTGCAGGCTATTAGCTCACCCCTTCAGCACTGAATGTAACGTGGTTTACTTGACTGAACCTTCTTGCCAATAAACCTCTTTAGCTGGCAGAGACTGGGAGAGAAAAAGAAACTGCATTCTATTAATTGCCTGTGGATAAATGCGAGGCACAAAAAAAGCTCCAATAATTGGCGAAAGCACTTTGTGCCAGGTACTAGGCATCATCCACGCAAGTCAGATCAGCTCTAGCAAACACACATGCAGGATATATTAATAGAAACACTTCCCATTTTTCTATAACCATCTCTGCTAGCAGTTTGCTGTGCTTTACCCTTTCTCTTTTCTGGATGAGGCTACAGTCTGCGTTTTAAAGGGGGGGGGGCACCCTCAGATTGCTTAAATCTCACCTCTGCCAGTAAGGGCACATGAGAACAGCTGGAAAGACATTGTAGCCCAGATTTACAAGTGTAAAGGCTGATGGTCCTAGGAACAGAGCTGAGGTAACGCCCCTTCCCCTATATTAAACACTGCTCCCCTTTCAGAATATTCAACACTTGATGAAGAAAACCTTTTAACTGGTAACTAAACTCTGTTCTACTGCAGTTGAGGGGAGGGGAGCGGGGGAAGCTCTATTTGATAGTTCATAGCTGGTGTGCACTACCATTGATAGAAGGCACCAATTTGGGTTAAACCAGAACTCTTGCAATAAAGGCCGACCCAGAGAGGAAGACTCGTATTTAACCTTAAATCACTAGCAAATTCTTCTCTTCTGTCATTCTGTCCTGCTTCAGGTTCCAAAGAATGTCAGCTGGTCTGATAGTTTTTGGGATGTGAACACCTCTCCAGAGAAACTGGACTGAGGTCTCCAGAGTCACTGCACATTGTGCCGAACACATAACTTACATCAGGCTGCCCAACGGCCATCACGACTTTCAATTACTATCAACATTGGATGGACTTGACATGATGACCAGAGGTGAGACTCCACAAATTCTATTCCAACCCTCCAGCGCCATCCAATGCTCCCTTTTACATTTTGAACCTATTCACACTAGCCTAAGCAGATGGGGATTAAAAGTTCCAACACATCAGCTTGGTCCTGCTATATTTCACGATTCATATATAAACACTATTTCCCATCTTTGACAAATACGGCTTTCCAAAATTCTGTCTAGGATTTCTTGTCTTGCTCTTACCGTATTTGCCAGTACACAACCAGCCAGTGATGGCTATGGTGATATGAAGCTGTTTCCCGTCAGTTAAAGGGAGGAATTCGAACTCTTCGATGGCTCCTACTCGTTTCTTCATCTTGTAGCCTGCATGTATAGAAATCACAGAGTAATGGTAGGGGCTGCCAACAGCAGAAATCAATAACAAATTCTTAGCGCTTTGTTTGGGTGATCGGATGGGACGGCAGCAGGAGGCATTATCTGCTATAATTAATAACTGTCCTCTATTAAACCATAGTTCTTAAAGCTAAAACCTGAAAAGGTTTCCATTTACTGTAGTTAGCTACAATCCCAAAGGTAACTTGTCTGCATGAGGATGTCTTGTCTACAGTGTCTAACCCAGTTGCCATTAACCCAGGGGAAAATGCTGCATTGTCACCAGGGTGTGGCACAATTCATAGATTCATAGATTCTAGGGCTGGAAGGGACCTTGAGAGGTCATTGAGTCCAGTCCCCTGCCCTCATGGCAGGACCAAATACTGTCTAGACCATCCCTGATAGATGGTCTATAGATCTAACTTGGGCTCGAGAAGCGGGCCAGCGCAGGGCTATGAAGATCAGGGGCTGCTGGAGAACCAGAGGTTGAGTTCTGCTGCTGTACAAGTAGACTGTTTAGTCCACAATTCCCTTTGCAGACCTCAAACTCTCAAGCTCAGCCATTAGTACCTGACTTTGCATACATTATTCTGTGGCGTGGTGGTTCAGAATCTAAATCTGTTATCTTACCGGTAAGGCCAGCTCCTGCTGCTCCAAAGAGTGACGCCATGACAGCGATTCCCGCCGTTGACCCTAAAGCTGCTGCCCCAGCACTTCCAATGATAGTTGCAGCTCCAGCAGCAACGAGAGGGGCAGCAAGACCCCCCGTCAAACCTAGAGGTGCAGCAAGTGAGAATTTCAGTGCATGATCGTGGTGGAAGACAAACAGATTTTCATGTCTTTGTGCTGTGTCAGCAGAGGGGATAACTTCCTATTGTGAGAACAGCTAACAAGCACCAGGGAGTGAGCTAACCCACCACATCCCATGGAAGAACTTGAACCATAAGCTAGAAGGGATCACCTTCCCCTCAGAAATCCAGTCTGGTCTTCCCCACACTGCTCCATCAACAAACCCAACCCTGATTTTCAGAGACCCTCCCCACTCGCTGAGTCTCCAGCCTGGATTGTCTTCTCATTATCACCAGTATAAATGAGGATTAACTCCACGGAAGTCAAAGGAGAAACATCGGTGTAAGTGAATGTAAATTCCAGCCATCTCTTATTTGAAAATCCTGCGCCAATCCCACATTATCCTGATTTTGGAGAGTCTAGAGAAGATTATGTGTCTGATTCTCTCTAACACCATGGTAAATGAGGAGAAATAAGTTTAAAGAACCAGATCTTCAGCAGGTATGAATCTGTGTAGCTCCATTAAATCCAAGGGCTCTACATCTATTTACATCAGCTGAGGAACTGGTCATATGTTTGTATACATCTGAATCACCAAACAATTCTGCCTAATAGATCAGTTGAGCAACTGAGCTCAAGTTTATCCTGGAAAATCACCTTCTGAAGGCTGAAAAGTACATTTACTCCCATCTTCTGCATCTTGCAGTTCAACAGTAACTCCCCAGAAGTCATTGGAGTCACATTACCTTACCACTGGCCTGAGAAAAAAAAAAAGAGGCTTGACTGCCCCTAACCCCATAGGCTTTGTCTTTGCAAAGCCCGTAAGAATCTTCCTGGCTTTTGGAGTTTTCCTTGTATCTGATTTGAACTATTACCTGGAACGTGACAACATTACAAGCAATGAATGTGTTAAAATTAGAACTAGGGCGAAGATGGAAGCACAGCTGCTGTTGCTCAATGAATCATTTCAGAACTGCCACTCTGCTCTTGCCACCATCTGTGTAACCCAGTCAGGTCCCAGAAACTGCAGGCCAGCCTCACCTATCACTGTTCCGCCCCCTACTGTTGCCAAGCCAATCATCAAGTATCTCCTCAATTTCCGCTTCCTTTCTTTCTTTCTTCTTGATGCTTCTGCAGTTCTGGGTGGGAATAAAAATCATGAGCGCGGACATGAAAGCCTGACGGATAACACCACAACACCCAGATCTGTTTGTGCTCTCCTGATTCACAGCATAGAATTCCACTACTGGGAACAGTAAACACGGTCATGCAGGTGTGCATTACGGCAACACACTTAGATTTATGACCACAAAAATAAAGCCACAGATTTAAACTGAAACAAGGTCACTGATGACAAACCCCAACACAGTGACTCACCTGGAAAATCCATCCTAACACAGGAATGCAGCTTGTACAATGAAAAAAGCGAGCATTTTAACATCCATATATTGCTTATATGCACGTAACAGCCATCAACAAGCTCTCTTGAAGTTTGCAGAATATGCAACACCTTTTTTATAGCATTCAAAAATGTCTCACTGAACAAGATGGGGCCCTACAGATGAAACATGAGGGTGGATGGCTTAGGGATTGCTATTATGGGCTAGAGAGCCTTTCACTTCTAGGTCATAGGTTTGAATCCAGCCCAGTTTGGATTGATTATCATTTGCCAGCTGTGGAGCAGCCTCTATGAATGAGCAGGGTGGTGTAGATCCAGTTCTCAGTAGACAAGTGCCTGCACCGAAGATTGTACTACCTGGCACCCTTGTTGGCTGTCTCTGCAGAGACACCAAGGACTGAACTGTTCTCATCCCTGAAGAGGACCCCTCCAGTTCAGGACTCGAAGGACATTTCCAAGTTGGGGTGATGCACATTCTGTGCATAAACAGTCTCGAGGGCTGTGAATCCTTCACTAGTCAGAAGCACTCATTGCACTCCTAAAGGTATGTCTACATGGTAAAAAAACCAAACAAACCCCTTGTCAGGGAGTCTCAGATCCCAGATCTACAGACCCGGGCTTGTGCCAAGGAGCTAAAAATGGTGGTATGGATGGTCAGGCTCAGGCTCTGAAGCCCAGGAAGGGGGGAGGGTTTCAGAGGCCAAGCTCCACCCTGAGCCCGAATGTCTACACCACTATTTTTAGTGCTATCCTACGAGCCCTGCAAGCCCAAGTCTGTAAACCCCAACTGTGCGCCTCACTGACATGGGGTAGGTTTTCCTTAAGTGTACCGTATGGGCCTGATGCTGATCCCACTGCAGTCAATAGTAAATCTCCCCTTAATGTTAATGGCACTGACTCAGACTATTACTTTTGGACCAGGCCTGTTAGATGCCAAGCGGAAACTAATCAGGATTCCAGCCAATGTTGGGGCTCAGGGAATGAAGTTTTAAAGGTTACGTCTGGTGGTGAGGCTGGAATTGGACTTAACACCCCCCACCCCACTCTCAAATAAAAAAAAAAAACCAAGCAAGTTCCACATTTGTAGTCTCATTTCCCTCTCTTCCTAGATACTGGCTGTAAGTCAATCCTATTTAACAGCTTTTATGAAAGCTACACTTAAAAGAAAAAAGTGCTACTTGCCTGCTAGGCCCTTAGAGCAACAAATCAAATCAAAGCCGAAAACTAGAGTCGCTGCGGCCGGGAAGTAAGCTGGAGCGTTGCCTTCCTGAGGTTGTTTTGTGGCGGCTGGAGATTCCCCACTGGCTAACGGATACGAAGGTGCCAGGTTCCCATTGGGGCCGATTGTAATAGGCGGGATAGAAAACAATACTGAAGAACAAATGATTGTGGGAAACAAATCGTTTCCTTTCCTTTCTCTGTGCTGTGGAAGCGTTGTTAGTGGAGGGCTTAGCTTTCTATTCTTAGATCTGTTAAACACAATCCAAATTCAGGCAGAGAGTGACCCCACCACACCTTACTGGAGACAGAGGTTCCAAAGTGTTTCAGGAAACCGTACCAGTGTAGCTAAGTAAGACCTAGGCTGAGTCAGCCAGTACCCATTGGCTCCTCGAACCAGCAACGGATCACAGGCTGCTCTGAAGTCTGGTCTTGCCAGTTACATGTTAGATGGCATGCAGTTCCTTAGCTGGTGTAAATCAATGGGTTTAATGGAGCTACACCGATTTATACCTGCTGAGGATCTGGTATTAGAGAGAATCAGTAAGAAGGCAGGCAGTGACGGCACATGGGTGCCCAGCTCAGCTTTAACGAAGGAAGGAGGAACCTAAAGTTCTAGTACTGGGATCAGTGTTTGGGAATCACAGTGCTACAGCACCATCCTAGACACTGCCCCTTCCACATAACTTCAGACACCAGCAGTAGGTCTCAGATTTTATGGCTGGAGGAAAGGTATTTGCTCTGTTTATTCACAAAGTGCTACAAAAATGATGTCAAGTATCAGAGGGGTAACCGTGTTAGTCTGGATCTGTAAAAGCAGCAAAGAGTCCTGTGGCACCTTATAGACTAACAGATGTATTGGATGGAGCATGAGCTTTCGTGGGTGAGTATCCACTTCGTCGGATGCATGTGGACGAAGAGGGTATTCACCCACGGAAGCTCATGCTCCAATACATCTGTTAGTCTATAAGGTGCCACAGGACTCTTTGCTACAAAAATGATGTTACCTTGTTGATCGAACTCAAGCCGCAGAGAATCCTTCCTTAGCCCACAACACCCCCTAATTGCCTGTGTGACTTCACAAACAACTCTCTCCTTCCAGCTGGAGCCCTGCCATCTCATGTCTGGTCCTGAAGCAAAACACTTAGGTGCCCAAATCCATCAAATCAGCTTTTATTTAAACTGGGCTCTCTAGGAAAATGCTCAGGATCAGTTCTGAACTCTACTGTCTCAGAGCAAATCCACTGACATTTACGGCATTACTCTGGATTTGCATCCATGTAAACTGAGATCTGAACATGTGCCAGAGAGCTTAAGGTACACGTAGCCAGACTGCAAAATGGAGGCTCCTGCTAGAGAATGAAGAGTTGCTTTGCGATTCTACTGGCAAATGCATACGCTGCTCTTGCCACGGCCTTGTGGAAAGCTCATACAGTAGCAATTCATGGCTATGGGATATTACCGGAACAAATAGCTTAATAAAGATTCTAAAAAGATGAAACACACCTGAATGAGTACAGCATTGGCAATACATTAGTTAAGAGGAAAACGGCCAGAGCTTTCAATCCTCATGTGATAAGGGAACAGCCAGCAGCTATACTGCCCTGGGCTGTTAGCTCATCAGATCTCCTCAAAATAGGCACTTACAATACAGCCTTTCATCTGAAGATCTCAACTTGCTTTGCAAACATTAGTTAAGCAAGTGAGAGTTAGCTGGGGTATATCTTATTATACCCATTTTACAGGGGAGGAAACTGAAGCATAGACTAGCCTCAAGGTCACAGGGAGTAGGATTGGGACCAGAATCCAGGAGTTCTGACTCCTAGTCCTCCAATCTAACCACTCGGCTACATTGGGGAGAGTCAGATCTTATTAGTACTTGGATAGCAGGCCTCCAAAGAAAACCCAGGCACCAGCGTTGATGATTATCATAGGGTTAAGGGTACTGTGCTGCTGGAGGGGCTATATTTCAGATGAGATGGAAAACTTATTTCCTGTTCACTTGTGATAATTAAAGATCCTGTACCCGGTGCCATCCTGGCTAAATTCTACTTTAAGTAAATACATTATGTGCCTATCTAAAATTCTCCCAGGAGAAGGACAGCTTCGTGTTTAAAGTATGAAACTGAGAATTGGGAAATCTGGATTTGATCCCTGACTCTGCCAAAGATTTCCTGGATGACCTTGGCCAACCCATCTACCCTCACTTTGCCTCAGAGGGGCACTGTGAGATGAAGTCACTGATGTTAAAGAGGGCTGAGATCCTCACATGGACAGCACTAGTTAAGTTATCCTTACCTGTCCTGTTGCAAACTGTTGCATAGCGTTGCCATGTTCTACCTCAGAGGTGGTTGCATTTCACCGGTAGGTTAAGTGGATGTTTGTCTACGCAGTTTGTAAAGTGCTTTGAGAGCCTTCTGGATGAAAGGCACTAGAAGTGGAATTTATTGTTATTACTACCAGCTGAGCTAAGGACATGATTTCCTGCAGTGGTGCAGTACTACATAATTGCTATGCGTAGCACAGGTTTTTATTTTTGCCTTCCTCCAAATCAAAGACTCTCATGATGGATGTACCTGCCCCCATGTAGCAGCCCATTTCCCAGCATTTCAAAAAGAAATAACTCTGCTTGGGTTTCCTACGTGAACTGCAATGGCAGTAAAACAGGATAGCACCAGTTTAACTTCACATCATAAGGTGCAAGGTCTGATAGTCTTGATAACCAAGCTGCAGCATGAGCCAAGGTTGCATGATCTCCGTAAACATTTCTAGTCTGCACCAGAAGAACAGAGTGAAAATAAATACATCTGAAATTCAGCACTGTTTAACTTTTTTCTTTCCTTTTAAAGACAATTCTGTTCTAACAACTCCTCTATACTTAGAATTGCACCCGTTTATCTAAAGATGTGAATTAAAACTGATTTAGTTAGACAGGTGCAAGCCAGTGTGGACATTCTTATTTCAGTTTAAAAATGGCTTTTCCTGGTTTAGCTTAAATTGATTTGGAACAGGTTTAAGCCAAATTGAAATAAGAGTGTCTGCACAATAGCATGCACCAATTTGAATTTAAATTTGTGTGTAGACACGCATTTCAACATGGCTCTCCTTGTACAACACTGTAAACTTATTATGGAATGGCTTATACTATATCTTAAGTATTCATAGCTAGGGCAAATAATGTATATATTCAACTGGGACAAATACAGCAGGAAATCAAAAGGCTAATTTCAAAAGTGAAGGATGGGATTTTCAAAAGTACCTACATTACTTAAACGCACAAGTTCCATTGAAACTCAACGGGACTTATGCTTCTAAAAAACTTAAGCATTTTGAAAGCTCACTTATACCAATTTGTAGTACAGCTATATGGTGGGCATACATATACTTTCTCTAGCCATACAGCCAGAATAAAAAGACAGCAACTGAACTTTGATCTAGGGATACATCTTCTATCTGACTTGACACTGGGTTTCCACATCAGCCCGACTATGTGCTGCTCTGATTACTTACTCAAGTAATCCA